AAGGCCATGCTTAAACACATCTGTGAAGAAGACCACCCCCTTGTCATTGTCACTTAGCGACTCTAAGGGCTCCGGAATTCGCATCCCTACCGATTCCGGAATGTTGTACTCCGACCGAATCTTCGCCAACTCGGATTCGGTCAGTGTGTTCGGCTCTAAGTCATCTACTCCGAACACAGGTTCCGTGGGCTTCGCCATCGGGATCCGTTGCCTACCCCTGACGACCCTTAGCACCCCTTCCCCTGGAACGGCAACAGAGACACCACCCCCATCGGCCTCACGACCCGAAGTCGAAGGCTCATCACCCCCAGGCACCCTCGTTGAAGTACCCCCAGCCTCGGCCCGCCCTCCTGCCCCCTCCACTATCTCACAGCTCGAAGAGCTCGCAGATTCAGAACTCCCACTCTCTTCGGCAGAACTCCCCGAGGACGACTCATCCTCGTATGCCCTCGGACTACGCCTACGCTCGGATTCGGTATCTGACATCTACAAACAACACACGAACGTACACTAAGGGCTGTGCTAAAATCCAAATCCTATTCTACCTCCTAAAAACACTACGTTCATACGTGTTCGGCGCCAATCTGTTGGCACTAAAAACTGAACAGATGGAGATGAGTGCAACTTACAAATGGGATGGACGATCGAGAGATCGATTGAGTATTGGATGCCGATTCTTCCTGTCCTTGGATGCTGATCCTGAATAGAAAGAGGTCGAGATTCGTAAGGTCTATGGAACCGGTGTGGAACCAGCCTAAGACCCTCCGATGCTGAAGTAAGTTTGTTGTTTTAAGAGCTCTTGCTGTTGACCATATAGAAGTATAAAAGTCAAGCTGAAAAGTCTTACCCCTGTATTGCAGTGGGAGGGGCATATTTATAGAGGGCATTTAGTATGCTCTTAGTGCTCATTTTCGATGTGGGACTCGTGGGAGGGCCCTATGAGGTTGACACGAGTCCTTAGATATTTCAGGCGGGTGCTTCGAGGTTGATTCTGCAGAATCGGTAGGGGATACCGATTGTAGGCTGTGTCCGGCTTGTAATGATCTTTTGCTGCTTTGAGACAATATCATCAGTAGCCTATGCCGATTGTCCGAGGCCTTGGGTGCTTGGGCGAGTTTATGAGATCCACGTGTCGTTGTACGAGCGGAGGGTCAGATATGGTACAAACAGTGTTATTCCCGTTACAAAAAAGTTTTTATGCTTGTGTTGGCTGTGCTATGCAAAACAGTTTGAGAAAGTTAGACAATTGCTAGCTTAGCTAGATTTCCAGAAACTACATACTTAAACAAATAATTAATTAAGAAATTGACCAAACATCCATATATCAAAAGCAACAGTAACTGGTTGCACCCAGGCATTAGATAATATACAACATCTGTTTAGTCAAGTACTATAGCTGTCATCAAATTTTAATGTTCAATCAAAACTACGTAAGAGTTAAGCCACTTTGCCTTTAGCTCACACAAGATTCTATATCTCGTCGTGTGGAGTTGTAGTTATTGTTGTTACATGTTAATTATACACGTGGATATGTGACAATATATATGAATGCCTGCAATGAGTTGGATATCTTCCATGTTGAATATTATATATATGATCAATTTTATTTTATGTTAACTTTGAGTCTTTTTCTTAATCGAAGTTTAAACTTGAGTTAAGTACTTTAATTTGCATTAATACTCCTTAATATTTAAAATCGCCCAATCACACCATCTAGAAGCCACAACAGCTTTGTCATTTCTGGAGACATTAACTAACTATATAATATAATGATGGAGGATCGAAAGATAAACTAATTGGCCTTGACCTCTTATATTATTGGAGAAGTGAGAATAAATAAGACGATAGAGTATTAGAGAAGATTTTATTTATTTTTTTGGTTTTATATGATTTATAATTACTATTTTTCCCTTACCATATTAACTTACAGAATTTTTTTCGAAATTTTCGGATTTTTGAATTTTGAATTTGATTCGGGTGTGTCGAAATCGGTTACCATATTCCACATGCTTCATGTCATAATGACAGGAAACATTTAGACATCAAAAAGTGAAATTCATACGAACCCTTTTGAATTTGAGGACATCTCTCTGAGATTATCTCCACCATTTTAAATATTAAAACGTTTTTCTCAATTATTATTCAATTTACGGTATAATACTTTCTTTGATATATGTAATGGAGGAAATGACCAAACCAAACCGGCCGCATCGTTTGGTTCAGTTGTGCTATTAGTTTATGACCTAAACCGAACCAACCAATTTAGATTGTCATGTCTTATTGAGGGTAAGTGTATGGTTTGCAGTTTAAATTGAACCAAACCGACCATGATCACCCTCATAGGCGGAGCCAATTAAGGCCTACAAGGGTCACTTGACCCTTCTAACCCTTTGATAATTTGTTTTTGAATGTGTTGCATTTGATTGAATTACTTTCTATATTACATGACTAACGTTTCTCATCTTTTGAGTTTACTAACTTTCTCATTTTCTTTGTTTACTATTTAAATCCTATGACAATTAAAGTACACTACAAAATCCCTCTTGGCTTTAGTAGTATCTTTTTTCTACCACATAAACACCTCTTAATTCCTAAAACTTCTCATGATTTCTTTAATCGAATGAGTCAATCAATTAGGCAAAATTCTCACTCTCGCTATTTAAGGTTGACCCTCATTGATAAAATTTCTGACTCCGCCACCCCTAATTCTTTGTTCATGGTGCTGAAGACAGAGAATATAGCCTTATTGCATTCAAGCAAAGAACATGACATGATCATGATATCGATGGATTGAATATGAAAATGCATGAACCATACGAAAAATGGAGTTTCCATGAAATATCTATGATACACGGAGTCATATACTGAGCTATCATGCATGTGGCATACTTACTATAGCTAGCTAAGCCGAAGCCTAAGCCTACACTCGTGGTTGTTCATCTCATCTCATGGCTTGATTAGATTGCACGTCAAAGAAAATCACTCCAAATAGAGCCTCAGAGATCCTTCAATATATAATGATAAGCAGAGGGTAGACCCGTATCGAAAGGATAATAAACCACAAAAACAAAAACAAAAAACAGAAAGGAAGAGTGCAATTGAATCAAGCGACTTAATCTGAAGGCTTTGAAGGTGATCCCCCCCACATCACGATTCACATGTGCCATCGAGCCCCAGCTATGGCGACTGCATCTCCAACTGTTTGATATTATTAAGATTTAAGATCAAAACCCAAAATTATGAAAGCTAATAATAATGCATATAAAATTGCGGCCGTCCAATCAAACGCGAAAATCCCAAGAAGGTTTAGTAGCTGTTTTTCCAAGCCTTGCTTTGGAGACAATCAAGTATCTCATAATTATATTACTTTTTATTTTCTCGGGATCGTTTCTTGCTTTAAATACTTCCTCTATACTAATTACAAACCAAATAACAAGAGCTGCTCCAAAGTCACTGTGGAGCGCGTGATGGAATGTATTATATAATATATATATGATCAAATTCAAGGGTTCAGATTTTGATGAGGGCCATTGGCTTAGGTCTCACATTTTCAACCAACTATTATATCTACAATTTCTAGCAATGTGGTAACCTTAATTCAAATTATGACATTTTCAATCATTTATAAGTAGGTTCCTACACGCTTTGATTTTCGAATACCTTGTAGGGAAATTTATTAGAATTGCTTAATTTAGTAAGAGAGAGTTTATTTTGAACCGACGAACTAAATCTTTATTATTGTGGCTCTTTGGTCATTTTTAGAACGAATTATCTCTATGTATTTGACTATTTTCAACTCTAAAATCAACTGTTGGATTTGATTTTCCTTTGCTCTTCTTCTTTCTCTCTCCTTTTCCTCAATACTTCAATCTGACAACAAATCACCATGTAGTAGTTGTTGAAATATGATTCAATTGATAACTAACTAGTAAGTAGAGTGATCCCAAATATATGGTAGTGAGACATGGTCACATATGACAAGGTCCCAAGGGTAATGAGAATTAATGTGTAAGAAAAATAATAGGAGATGGAGGAAGGAAGACAATCCTTTAGTGTTATTGACTAACTGATTGGAGAGTGGAACCACTCTCCATAGAAGCAGGTGATGAAGAAGGCAGGGAGGGTAAATTATAGGACAAAAGCCATATAGTCTCATTCCATAGACTTGCTTTTTACGAAAGCTTTAACCATCCCCGTCGGCGTAGTCACCGGCCGTCAACCTTTTCCCCTAAATCAAAGCCCCCCCGTTGACAATCATCATGATATTTAAGCCCCATGACACCATCTCCACGTAAAATTTGATTCATTGCTCAAACTCAACACACACACATACAGAGAGAGAGAGAGAGAGAGAGAGAGAGAGAGAGAGAGAGAGAGAGAGAGAGAGAGAGAGAGAGAGAGAGAGAGAGAGAGAGAGAGAGAGAGAGAGAGAGAGAGAGAGAGAGAGAGAGAGAGAGAGAGAGAGAGAGAGAGAGAGAGAGAGAGAGAGAGAGAGAGAGAGAGAGAGAGAGAGAGAGAGAGAGAGAGAGAGAGAGAGAGAGAGAGAGAGAGAGAGAGAGAGAGAGAGAGAGAGAGAGAGAGAGAGAGAGAGAGAGAGAGAGAGAGAGAGAGAGAGAGAGAGAGAGAGAGAGAGAGAGAGAGAGAGAGAGAGAGAGAGAGAGAGAGAGAGAGAGAGAGAGAGAGAGAGAGAGAGAGAGAGAGAGAGAGAGAGAGAGAGAGAGAGAGAGAGAGAGAGAGAGAGAGAGAGAGAGAGAGAGAGAGAGAGAGAGAGAGAGAGAGAGAGAGAGAGAGAGAGAGAGAGAGAGAGAGAGAGAGAGAGAGAGAGAGAGCTCAAACTCAACACACACACATACAGAGAGAGAGAGAGAGAGAGAGAGAGAGAGAGAGAGAGAGAAGAGCAAAGCTAGCTAACTTAATTGTTAGTGCAATATTGCTGTAGATATATACATATTGAGAGTGCAACATATATATTCGAAAGAGATTGGTGATTAACTAGGGATATGGCTAATTCATCGACTGGGGGTGTGCCTCCGGGGTTTCGATTCCATCCGACAGACGAAGAGCTGCTTCACTACTATTTGAAGAAGAAGGTGTCGTTTCAGAAGTTTGACATGGAGGTCATTAGAGAGGTGGACTTGAATAAGATGGAACCTTGGGAGTTGCAAGGTATGTAAACTTGTCAATTAATTTTCTTGTTTGCAGTACTGTTATATCTTGAGCTTAATTATAATCTAGTTTTGCCAAGAGCTTCATATGTAGTGTGCTAGGAACGGGATTGGAATGATTGATCTTTCCTTCAAGGATTGTCTTTACTCGATCTTCATTGGTTTTGGTTAGAATTTTTTTTTAATATGTCGAATATATATGTAATATATAGACACACACATACCAAGAATTTAACATATAATTGATCAAATATATCAGCAAATTTGTTATTTTTTTTCTTCACATTATTCTAGAATAGATCGAGTAAAATTGATAAAATATAATGATTTGTACAAGTTTCTCAATTCCATAAAAATAAAGTTGCTCAATTTGCCATATCAAAATGAATTGGTCGAACTATCTACGTAAGATTCAAGATTTTTCTATGTAAATCTTTCCCTGTCCTTATTTAGCTGCTCTTTCTTCAAGATACGGCTATAGCTTTCTCGTGTAGTGAGTCGAGTCAACCAATTGACCAGGGTATGCACATTCTCTCTCTGTGCCACATAAAAAGTTTGTGATAAAATTAGCTAAGAACAATTAATGGCGGGGCATTTCTTTGAGGCCCTTGTTTATATACTAATGAAGCGACTTCAACACATTAATCTGCAATATGCTCCTATTTTATACTTTAACTATTTGTTTAGTTTCTCCTAATACAATCTGATATACCTCTCTAATTATTTCATTAATTTTGGTGTGTTTATGTATGTATGTATGTACGTATAGAGAGATGTAGGATCGGATCGACACCACAAAATGAGTGGTACTTTTTCAGCCACAAGGACAGGAAGTACCCAACAGGGTCTCGGACAAATAGGGCGACAAATGCTGGGTTTTGGAAGGCAACAGGGCGGGACAAGTGCATCCGAAACACCTTCAAGAAGATTGGCATGAGAAAAACCCTTGTTTTCTACAGAGGGAGAGCTCCCCATGGCCAAAAGACCGACTGGATTATGCATGAGTATCGCCTTGAAGATGGTGATGATCCTCAAGGAAACTTATCTAGTGTAAGTCTTTAAAACATTAACTAAATGAGAGAGATTTTAATTTGCAAGCACAAATATATATAACCTTATAAAAATGCAGGAAGATGGGTGGGTGATCTGCAGGGTATTCAAGAAGAAGAACTTATTCAAGGTTGGGAATGAAGGAGGAAGCTCGAGCATGAACTCATCGGATCATCAACAGCTCAACAACACATCAAGCACCAACCAAGCTCGCTCCTTCATGCATACCCACAGAGACAACCAATACTTGCTACGCCAACAACACAGCCAAGCCTTCGAACTAAACAACCCAAACCTTCACTACGCCCACCTCCAACCACCCCCTCAGTACTCTCTTTTCCAACCCCAAGCCCTAATCGCAACCCACAAGCCCCTCGCCGGCTACGACTACACTCAGCTCCCTTCCGACGACTCCCCGGGCCACGGCATGGTGAAGCAGCTCATGACAAACCCTAGAGACTGTGAGAGTGGCAGTGAGAACCTCCGGTACCAAGGGTGTGAGCCGGGGTTGGAAGTTGGGACGTGCGAACCAAATCAAGCACCAATGGTTGCAGGTGGAGGTGGAAGTGATGGTGGAAGAGATCATCATGATCAGGGCGGCATGAATGAATGGGCGATGCTCGACCGCCTTGTTACGTCTCATCTCGGAAATGATCAAGACTCGTCGTCGAAAGGAGCAAGGTATGATCAGGATGCAAATGCTGCTGCATCCTCCGTCACCCAAATTAATAACCACCTGTCTTTGCGTGGAGAGATGGATTTTTGGGGCTATGGAAAATAGTAATAACGGCCGCAAGTGTTGTTGGGAATCTTATTATTAGAAAGATGGGTTAGAGAGTTACCCATGGCAACTAAGAATGGCTCTAACCCTATCTATATATTAATATTGTGAGTATATCAAGCGAAAATATACCAAATTACTCGATAGCGATTGAAGGAATATATTATGAATATATAGTTGTTCCTTTTAGCTAGACGTTTTTCTGATTCTTAATTAAGTGTAAATTTTGAATTAATTATTTAATATAATACTCAATTGTACTTGATTGAAATGACACGTTTTTTCTACATGAAAATGATCAGCACACCCAATCCATCGCAGCTCTTATTAGCTTGCAACGGTACACTGTCCTTTCCACAAGGTACAAAATCAAAGGAATCAAGTTTATACGATAAGACAATTGCAGTCCTCCAAAACTGTATGTATTATAATTATGTTAGACAATTATAACAGTGTACGTACGTACATATGTTCTTAAACAATTACAATACAAAAGTGTATGCATATATATGACGTTAATTACAAAAGTTATTTACTCAAATGGTTCTCAAACTTATACATGATTTACATTTTGGTTTATAAACTAAATTATTCGTTTAAATGGTCCACCAACTCTTTATAAACTAAATTAACCACACGGTCAACTTAACGGAATGATGAAATTGGACGATATTGTAAACGTAAGGGTGTAAATTGATAAAATTAATAACCTGAGGTCCATATTAAGAACCACCCCAAATATATAGAGTGTTTTTTGACATTAGCCCAATAAAATAATATTCACCCTTAAAACCAACGACATGTAGCGTTGGGTTTGTTTGTAAGATTGAAAGCCAGGAAACGGCGGGTCGTGTTGTGCGCCAATATAAAACTCATTTGCCCCCTCTCGAAATTAAACCAAAAGCAACAAAGCGCTGCATTCTCTGATTTCAGATTTTGAGAGACAAGTTCGGACTTCGGGTTCGGAGGTCTTTAGGTTCAGCAGAGATGATGAAGGTTTTGCGCCTCTTGTCCTCCTACAGGTACCAACTCTCTTTTCTTTCTTTTCTCTTTTTCATTTTACTTTGAAAAGAAAAAACCCATTGTTTATTTTCCTTAAACCCTGAAAAATCTACCTTGTCGAGTAACTGAGCTTGAATCGTATGAATCTGGCTGCTAAGAAATGAAAGATTTCCTTTTTATCAGTCAGTCGATGTAAGTTTCCTGTATAATATAGGTGTGTTGGAAATAAAGGTTGAAACTTTGAGTTGCAAACTTGCAATCTTTTGTTTTGTCAATCTTTTGTCTATATATATATATTATTTGTATTATAATAATATGTTATGTTGAAATTCTGATTTTCATTATATGGTACCCATAAACATTGAACTTTTACTCTGTTCTAACACACCTGATAGACACCCACACTCGCATGAATTGGCCATTTGATTGATTTCGTCTTATTTCCTACTTGACTGTTCATTTGTTACTCTTGGAAGAATTAACAAGAAAGAAGATGACCTGAAAGGCCGAAATTCTTCCATGTTTAGCTCTATAGGCACTATCAGCTTCCAATTTTGGAGCATTATCCTAAAATTGCTGAAACCCGGTTCTTGTAATGGGTCCAACCTTTTTCTTATGGTCCTAATTTTAGGTGAAAATGATGTTATACTTGTTTCTTAAGAAGGTAAATTTTATCAATTTTTGAATGGTTTTTCATCGAATTGGCTAACTCTAACAACACTTCAAACGCTCCCCGTTCCTAGGATTTATCTTCGTAACCTCGTGTCGTCTCTTAGTATTTTTCTGATTTTCTTTGTTGAAAAAGGAACCAGTTCTCCACTAGAGGTGCTTTATCAATGCATGCTCATACACATAGCACCAGCTTTTCAACTGCCAGTAAGAGTTTTTCTGTTAAAGGTAACTTGTTTAAACAATCAATTTTAATTTTTATCTCTTACATCTTTCTTTCCTGTTAGATAAAGTTTACTCTGCTTATCTGTGTTCTTTTGTTTCTGAACCTGCAGGAACTAGTGCTGATTATGTACATGCTCCTTTTCATATCTACAAAGGAAGAGCTGCACTCTCTTTCAGTCCTGTTCTCCCAACATTCACCAAATTGGAAGTGTGCATCTTTACTTTTTCATTCATAATTTCATTGAGCTCCTTCTTATGAAGGGATTCAAGGATGTATCTCCTCATTCATCTCTTTATATATTGCGTAGTCTGGAGGTCTCGTAGTTGGTCGGCGTGGTGTTGTCATGTTGAAGTTCACTCCTGCCATTGGCGAGCGCAAGTATGACTGGGAAAAGAGACAGGTAGTTTCCATAGCGGTTCTTATTTACATTGTCTTGATTTTCATTTTGTTTACTTTACAAATAACTAAGTAATCTCAATGACATTCGTTAGGTGTTTGCTTTATCAGCAACGGAGGTTGGCTCTCTGATAAGCTTGGGTCCCAACGATTCTTGTGAATTTTTTCATGATCCCTCAATGCAATCAAGGTTGATTTTCTGACATGCTACTTTTGTGGAAACATGTGTAACAAGGGTGTTTTCTGTTTTTTCTTACCTCATGGAAAGAACTGCATTTTGATAAAACAATTTTCAGAGGGCATCATTTTTTGTTTCATTGTGAAAGCATCGCTTGTTTTTGTTTTCTTTAAAATTGTTTATTATTTTCACAGAGACAACCAATACTTGCTACGCCAACAACACAGCCAAGCCTTCGAACTAAACAACCCAAACCTTCACTACGCCCACCTCCAGCCACCCCCTCAGTACTCTCTTTTCCAACCCCAAGCCCTAATCGCAACCCACAAGCCCCTCGCCGGCTACGACTACACTCAGCTCCCTTCCGACGACTCCCCGGGCCACGGCATGGTGAAGCAGCTCATGACAAACCCTAGAGACTGTGAGAGTGGCAGTGAGAACCTCCGGTACCAAGGGTGTGAGCCGGGGTTGGAAGTTGGGACGTGCGAACCAAATCAAGCACCAATGGTTGCAGGTGGAGGTGGAAGTGATGGTGGAAGAGATCATCATGATCAGGGCGGCATGAATGAATGGGCGATGCTCGACCGCCTTGTTACGTCTCATCTCGGAAATGATCAAGACTCGTCGTCGAAAGGAGCAAGGTATGATCAGGATGCAAATGCTGCTGCATCCTCCGTCACCCAAATTAATAACCACCTGTCTTTGCGTGGAGAGATGGATTTTTGGGGCTATGGAAAATAGTAATAACGGCCGCAAGTGTTGTTGGGAATCTTATTATTAGAAAGATGGGTTAGAGAGTTACCCATGGCAACTAAGAATGGCTCTAACCCTATCTATATATTAATATTATGAGTATATCAAGCGAAAATATACCAAATTACTCGATAGCGATTGAAGGAATATATTATGAATATATAGTTGTTCCTTTTAGCTAGACGTTTTTCTGATTCTTAATTAAGTGTAAATTTTGAATTAATTATTTAATATAATACTCAATTGTACTTGATTGAAATGACACGTTTTTCCTACATGAAAATGATCAGCACACCCAATCCATCGCAGCTCTTATTAGCTTGCAACGGTACACTGTCCTTTCCACAAGGTACAAAATCAAAGGAATCAAGTTTATACGATAAGACAATTGCAGTCCTCCAAAACTGTATGTATTATAATTATGTTAGACAATTATAACAGTGTACGTACGTACATATGTTCTTAAACAATTACAATACAAAAGTGTATGCATATATATGACGTTAATTACAAAAGTTATTTACTCAAATGGTTCTCAAATTTATACATGATTTACATTTTGGTTTATAAACTAAATTATTCGTTTAAATGGTCCACCAACTCTTTATAAACTAAATTAACCACACGGTCAACTTAACGGAATGATGAAATTGGACGATATTGTAAACGTAAGGGTGTAAATTGATAAAATTAATAACCTGAGTTCCATATTAAGAACCACCCCAAATATATAGAGTGTTTTTTGACATTAGCCCAATAAAATAATATTCACCCTTAAAACCAACGACATGTAGCGTTGGGTTTGTTTGTAAGATTGAAAGCCAGGAAACGGCGGGTCGTGTTGTGCGCCAATATAAAACTCATTTGCCCCCTCTCGAAATTAAACCAAAAGCAACAAAGCGCTGCATTCTCTGATTTCAGATTTTGAGAGACAAGTTCGGACTTCGGGTTCGGAGGTCTTTAGGTTCAGCAGAGATGATGAAGGTTTTGCGCCTCTTGTCCTCCTACAGGTACCAACTCTCTTTTCTTTCTTTTCTCTTTTTCATTTTACTTTGAAAAGAAAAAACCCATTGTTTATTTTCCTTAAACCCTGAAAAATCTACCTTGTCGAGTAACTGAGCTTGAATCGTATGAATCTGGCTGCTAAGAAATGAAAGATTTCCTTTTTATCAGTCAGTCGATGTAAGTTTCCTGTATAATATAGGTGTGTTGGAAATAAAGGTTGAAACTTTGAGTTGCAAACTTGCAATCTTTTGTTTTGTCAATCTTTTGTCTATATATATATTATTTGTATTATAATAATATGTTATGTTGAAATTCTGATTTTCATTATATGGTACCCATAAACATTGAACTTTTACTCTGTTCTAACACACCTGATAGACACCCACACTCGCATGAATTGGCCATTTGATTGATTTCGTCTTATTTCCTACTTGACTGTTCATTTGTTACTCTTGGAAGAATTAACAAGAAAGAAGATGACCTGAAAGGCCGAAATTCTTCCATGTTTAGCTCTATAGGCACTATCAGCTTCCAATTTTGGAGCATTATCCTAAAATTGCTGAAACCCGGTTCCTGTAATGGGTCCAACCTTTTTCTTATGGTCCTAATTTTAGGTGAAAATGATGTTATACTTGTTTCTTAAGAAGGTAAATTTTATCAATTTTTGAATGGTTTTTCATCGAATTGGCTAACTCTAACAACACTTCAAACGCTCCCCGTTCCTAGGATTTATCTTCGTAACCTCGTGTCGTCTCTTAGTATTTTTCTGATTTTCTTTGTTGAAAAAGGAACCAGTTCTCCACTAGGGGTGCTT